AACATGCTGGATGCAACTGGCTGACTTCCGTGAGATTGGCAATTACCTGAAAGTGAAGCACGATCAGGCCCAGAAACTCGAGATGGACAAAAGACGAATGCGCGCAGGCAACAGCGCAGACAACCGCGTGACCATGACAGACGCATTCGGCTCCATCGCCCGAACAGAGCTCATATATCTAGAGGATTCGCCGGATTATTGTGCCAAAAACCTGAGCCTTGGACTTCCTGGCACAGAGGGTCGGGAGTGCGTGCAACACGGGGAAAGTCTGTCTCAATGGGAAAGGCGAAGCTGCCGCAGACTGTGCCATGAGTGCGGTCTGCGGGTGGAGGAAAGGCGCACGGAGGTCGTTAGCAGCTGCAACTGCAAGTTTCATTGGTGCTGCACTGTAAAGTGCGAGAACTGCTCCCAGGTCACTGTCAAACACGTCTGCACCCGCAGACACGGAAGCCATGGTCATAACAGGCGTAGACCTCGAGGACCAAAATAAAACACGCCTAAAACTGTTTTATTCGAAGAATACCTGCACTTTTTCTTGTTTGCCATTTCTGTAAATATTGCTATATATTAAAATATTTTAAACAAATCATCTTGTTCGTTTGTGTCTCCTACTTCTTATGTAGTAAGCTATGGTGTGTTATTTTAATCAAATATAGAATGAAATGGTAATACTGTGAAGCATTAGCCTATTAAAAATGATTCTCTCTCTCTCTCTCTCTCTCTCTCTCTCTATATATATATATATATATATATATATATATATATATATATATATATATACATATACATATACACGTATTAGTTTAAAATGCAATGTAAAGCTACATTTCATTATTCGTTGACGCAAATAAAGTTAAATAAATTTATTAAGCATGTCTTTTTTGACATCAATAATGTATTACTATTGATTAATTTGCTGTTTAATTGAGAAAAAAACACACAATTCAGATTGGTAATATATTATGGTTGTCACAAAATGTATAAAACAGCACGACTAACATCTGTAGCATATAATTTTATTTTCATATAAATTGTTTCAATCTTAGTTTTTTTGTATGTTTAATCAAATAAATGAAGACAATGCTGATACTTCTTAAAAATACAGGTTAATAATACATTTTGTAACAAACTGTAATTTACAAATGTATAAAGCTATAAAGTGACCAATACGAAAATAATGTTTAGACATTTCCAACCCAAGCGTGTATGATGAAACTTCCAAAAAAATATCGGTGTCTGGGTTTGTTTATGCAAAAAAATACTTCATAACACATATGTAGGCTACAACAAATGTACAGCAATGTATATCATTATATCAGGATATCATTACCACTTCTCTGTTGGCTTGCGTCCTGCTAAAATTAGATTACATATTTTGTTTAACAAACTATTGTGCGTCGTGCTAATTACCTAATGGCTGCAAGGTTCATAAAGATTCATAAAGTAAATATATATATATATATATATATATATATATATATATTTATTTATTTATATATGTATTACCAAATTACACAATGCAACAAATATGATATATATATATATATATATATATATATATATATATATATATATATATATATATATATATATATATATATATATACACATATATATATATATATATATATATATATATATATATATATATGTGTGTGTGTGTGTGTGTGTGTGTGTGTGTGTGTGTCATATTTGTTGCATTGTGTAATATGGACGCTAGGTTATATCATAGACACGCGCCGCAGGGAAAAACGCGTGAAGAGAAATCAACGTGGTCTCAATTAGTAGTACACTGTATAGCCGTTTATTTAATGAATACTCTTAAAAAGGATCAACTCTGTCACACTCAGCACATCGCACTAGGTGCCTTCCTTGCCAAGACTCTGGCTCACTTTGATGTGCGGACAGTATGCTGTCCCGATGACAAAAGTGTAGACAAAGCCGTAGGAAACACACCACTGCTGGAAGGTGTTTGGCATGTTAATCCGCGTTACCGCTGCGTTGGTGTACATAATCACACCTGCGGAAGCAACTGCGATGAATGTAAATAAATCAAAGGGAAGGATTTTAAGTCCATTAGTCACGTTACAAGGTTGGAAACCGATTTAAATAGTAAAACCAGGCTTACGTGTTGTGTGTTCACTATAAGTGATTAGGTTTTACCTAAATCATGGCCTAATTGTGACATTTGTTTTGATATACTTTATCAGCAGATTTCTCACTTAATTTGCCAGTTCTAGATGCATAGTAAATTTACTCGGTGGGAAGTGCCATAAATCTGCCAAACTGTCTGGCTTGATGAATGATGGGATATTGGCTCTATGGGGGTCTTGGCTCACAGCATAGGGGGTGGGACACTCAGAATAAAGTATGTCACAACTTCATTTGCTTTCCTTGAATACTTCTATGTTAAAAGACAACAACACAAAAAGAGAGACTTTAAAGGGATTTACCCAAAAACAAAAATTTGCTTTTAAAATGACTCACCCTTGGGTCACCCATTATGACATTTTTCCTGCAGAACATTATCATTATTTCTTTATTTACCTGAAAATGTGGACTTGGGCAATACATAAAATGCAAATAAATGGATACCAGCACTTTGAGAGTAAAAATAAACATATATAAATTAATACCCATGGCACCTGCACAGTGAAAAAAATGTTTGTTTTGAGTATGAAACTTAACATCATACACCATCAAGAGTCACAGAAAACCATTTACAAGCTTCCTGTTGCATAAAAGGCATCCAAACTATCAATTCAAAATGACAAAATTTTAAATGACTCAAACTGAACTCAAAATACTCCAGTCAACAATAACAAACTATTCACTCCCCACCAAATGCCTGTTTGCCTTTCAGGACACTATGTTTTTTCCCAGGCCACCCTGCTGAGCTCTGATGAATAAGGAACAAAGTGGCCATCCCCTCAAATACAGTACCATGTTGTCGTCATCTCAGCCATGACCCCCCGATCCCATCCCCTCCTTGTCTCTTATTTAACAGACCTTTCATATGAATAGAATCAGGTTGTAATCACAGTGCAGCCCTTTGGTTTACCCACTTCAAAAACTCAGCAATAACAGTGATCCCAGTCTGTTCCGCGCCACAAAAGACCTATTTCCTTTTTGCTTAAGGATTGCACTTGCGCATGACAAAGACAGGGAATGCCCTGTTTCTTCATCTGAGAAATTGCGACACACTCTCAATCAAGCTAAGTACTGACTCCCTGATTTTTGTCACAAGACGTTCATTAGAAGTCACTGACATTAGTTTATTGGTTGTCTTTTGCTTGACAGGTCAATATCACTACTTTCATTATTTGATTAATTTGCCTCATCTCTACTCTTCCTTTTATTTAAAGTTACTAAGTGATAATAAAGCTGCAAATAAAGAAAAACGAAACAGAAAAACTTTATAAGATACTATCATGAATAAATATAGCACCCCTGATAAAAGATCTGACCACAAACTACAGCACAAAAGCATGCACCAAGATATCTTTAACACTTGAAACATCCTCCAACAAAAGTTCCTTCTGCTTTTTACTGGCTAAAACACAAGCTATGCAAAGCCCCCTGGTGAAACTACATCACTTTGTCAGTCCTGTGGTTGACTGATAAGTGCCTTCAACTCTCACCTTAGTGGTAGATTGCATGCTGTCTTGTTCCCTGAAGGGATGTTTCCTTTTGCATTAGGATACATTGATCTACAATGGTGAAATGCATTGCATTTTCAGTGTCTTGTGTTCTCATACGTTGTGGTCATGGCCTAGTTATTACTGCAGCTTGTGCTAAGAACATGTGAGAACTGTTTGCATTTGAAGTAATAGATCTATAGTTAGTGTACTTCTGTGAATCTTGCAATGCTTATAAACACATGCAACTATCAAACACAGTTGAAAGATCTACAGTATGCCTTCGACACATTAACACTGAGGCACAGTTATTTATAAATATATACTATGCAAGTTATGCTCTGTAAGCCTCTAAACATTGGCTTTCACATCTTTGGTGATGCGGCACTTCCTCTAAATAGTTACAGGAAACAGAGCCGAGAGCCTGCTATTCTGCGTCAACAATGTCATCGCACTCAGTCTTTGACCAACTAGCCACAAGCAAGACAAGCGCCTTGAAACAGTATAATTCAAAAACTATTACCAAAGATAAATTCTAAAGCACAGTGGCAAGAAGCATCTGCAACTAGAGAACAGCAAATTCCCACTTTACTGGAAAGACAATCATTCCAGTAACAATGAATCTGCCGACTAAGTCAGAGGTGATGGGATGGAACTCTGGAAACTTGGCTGACTATCTCAAAAGAGTGAGTAAAGAAGTTTATGATTTTTTTCTTTCTTTACAAAAAGACTACACATTAGTAGATATTATTAAGCTTTTGTAATAAAGAGGCCTTTGGCAGTAAAACATCGAATTCAAAATTACACTGTTGCTATACAGTTGCAGCACTTCAATTGTGACTGACTGTTTTCTGAACTGTCTATTTGAGACCTGTGTAAATTTAAATAGTTTTTATAAAGTGAGATATAAAGGTATTGTAAGCCTACTGGTTTGAGCCATTATCAAACAAGAGCTCTTTATTGGACACATTTTTTGTTATTTTGTAAAGGAAGACAGATTATTTTATTATATTTTATATATATAGCATATTACTGAATTTATTAAGTGCAATGTGTGACTGAAGATCAGTTTTCAGGCATCACACTTTTTTCTGTTTTCAGATGAAACTAGTGGGGTGTGACCGAACAGTGAAGAAAAGCAATATGAGTGGTGCAAGATTCTTGGTAAATGTTTTAGTCTCTCTATCACAACACACTTGATTTAAAACTAATATATTTTAATTAAATTGTTTGTATGCACATTGCAGTGAGTCCATCTCGGATAACATAAGGAAACAGAATAAATTAGGGCTGCACAATATTGGAAAAATCTAGCATTGCGATATTTATTTTGCGATTGGGATATAAATACAATTTCCCTAGATAAATTGAAAATCTCTGTTTGGAAAGAATTTATAATGTTAAATCTATTAGGAAGATTCTGCAGTGGGAGTGCATCTCCATAAAATCTAATAAACAAACAGTAAAAACTTTTTGGGGTTCCACTACACATTTTCGTTGTGGTCTGTGCTTTTTGCAGTGCATTTCTGTATGTGTTATGAGTATTTTCATGCATAACAATCTATAAATACAATCAAGAAAAGGATACAATTGAAAAAGTCTTTTATCGTTTCTCGAGTCAGTATTCAGGTGCAGTAACTAAATGATTTAAATAAAAAATAATTCAAAAAAAAAATTAATGTTGTTAAATTTATAAATAGTACAATTTCTTATGCCTGAATGCTTTTATAGTCATTATACAATCACAGGCATCAAAAGCACATGCAAATGATGAACTATAATCCAGACTCAACATTGCGTATGCGCGCGATAGGACATTGCGAATGATCACATAACAATATCGATGCTGAAACGGTATATTGTGCAGCTGTAGACTATTATAGCTACATTTTTAAAAAATGTGCAAATAAATGATAAAAATTATGCCATTATTATTTTTCATACTTACCTA